GAATAAACGACCGAAAAGCAAAAAAATAAACCAATGAATATGTGTCGGCCACAAGATAGCTGAAATCGTGACCAACAAGCGAATTGTGAATATGGCTCATTGCATGCCAAAATGCAGTCTTATTTCACGATTTTCATGCTTTATGTAGATATTTCTGATCAAAAATAATAGTAGTAGATTCGTAATCTCCATCAAAAATTGCATCTATAGACATGTCATTTGTATATTTTTCATGAAAAAAAATTTTCAAAAAGATCTCGAAGGATACCCCAGACAAAGAATTCTGAAAACATTTTTGAACTGAAATATCTGGATTTATAATCAGTCGACACAGTTTTTGACCAAGATCACGAATTTAAGATTATTTTTGTTGGAAAATGTAATTAAAAAAAGCGAAAATCGTAAAATACGAGCCCATTTGGGTAGAAAAATGCCATAAATTTTATAATACCGAGTCTTTAAAAAAACTATTACGCCCCCTCTCCCGCGCATACGATATTTATTGATGTGTTGCATTTTACATCGATTTGAAGTGGTTTTAAGTGTGCATTGTAATAGAGTAGAGCATGACGTACTTTTCGTAGTTCTCATTCGGTGTTGTTATGCTCCAGTGTTACGAAGCGCGTGCGTGAATTGGATAAATTGTTAATTCTTGATCAAAACAGTCAAATTACTGACGAACAAAATGAGAAAGAGAGTAACAGAGAAAATCAAGGAAGAAAAGCTATGCATCCATATTCACAAGTACAGATAAGAGAAGAATGAGGATAAGACAGATTGAATAAGCAGCGGAATTATTACATAGTTCCAGTGATACTCAAATTTTGTCATTTTTTTTCTTTTCTGTGCCTGTTGCTTGTGCAGCTAATTTCTTGTGTCACGTGTGAAGTGAAAATAAATGTTCAATAAACTAAGTCAAATTTGTAACACATTAACTCAGCGAATCAAAATGACTAATCTTCTTTATGACTCAGAAGAGCAACAATTTGTGGACAGAATTCGTTCTATCACGTGTTGTGAGATACGTGATGAAATAATTGCAAGAATGACAGATTCATTCATCACTCACTAATGGATTTCCGAAAAGTTCCCCTATAGCGAAGATTGAGTAAGGCGACATTGGAATAGCACAATCAAACAATGTCAGACACAATTTGGAAGTGATCGGCCTGAAGTACTCTTTCAGGACAGCAAAACATTATCGCTTCCGCGAGTGGTTTCAAGGGGGGCAGTGGCACTCGAAAGGTTGCGAGAGACATTTTAGAGAAAACAAGACAGCCAGTGAGTCATGTGATCGTTCATCGTGAACGCTATCGGAAAGGATTAAAATGTTTTCATGTGATTGTAAAGCCATTGAAGACAAGCATCCATATTGAAGGTCGGAAATGGCTCGCAAATTTTGTTGACGATTGGACTGAAGAAAATTTCCTGAATATCACGCCTTCGGATGAATTTTATATATTTATGTGATCAGAAAGCCAAACTACCAAAATGACAGAATTTGGGCAAAAAGTATCGAAGACATCAATGCCACTGAAGGATACCGTGAAATGGTTCGCAACGCTTCATGCATCGGAATTTGCGTCATATTCACTGCAAAGAAACTTCTTTGGATCCTGAAGGAACAGGAGCAATCTTGGAATGGTGTGTATTTCCGTGAAATTATTCTTCAACAATATGTGATCCCATTTCTTCGAGATCATATCAATGTTCTTGACACAAATAAAGTCATATTTCTTCACGATAAGGTATCCTGCATGAAAACCAATGTAACACAACATCTTTTTGGAGGACGAGGGTGTGAAATTCTGGGGCGATTCAATTTGGACTGGTAACGATCCTGACATGAACCCTACAGAAAACATCGATGCAATTATCAAAGATAAAGTTGAAGAACAGATGGCAAGTGAAGATCGTCAAAACAGATACGGATATGATGTTCTCAAAATTAACATTAAGAATGCACTCAAGGATCTTGAAGATGGCACAAATCTTTTTATTGATTTGCTGCACTCAATGAGAAAAAGATTTGATGCTCTCAAAGCTGCTGAGGGAGGTCATACAAATTTCTGAAATTTTTTCATAAACGTACATTTATAAGAAGTTTCTATTTCTAATAAATTAGAAACTCTATCGTTTACAATTCAAGCTGGCGAGGGAGCGTAACAGTTTTTTTTATAGACCCGATATTGTAAAATCTATGCCATTTTTCTACCGAAACGGGCTCGTATATTGCAATCTTCGCTTTTTTTTATTACATTTTTCAGCAAAAATAATATTAAATTCGTAATCTTCGTTAAAAACTGTGTCGACTGATAATAAATCCAGATATTTCAGTTCAAATTTTTTTTTTTGGAATTTTTGTCTAGGGTATCCTCCGAGATTTTTTTCGAAAAATGTTTTTCGTTAAAAATATACAAATGACATGTCTATAGATGCAATCTTTGATGGAGATTACGAATCTACTAGTATTATTTTTGATCAGAAATATCTACATGAAGCATGGAAACCGTAAAATAAAAGTGCATGTTGACATGTAATTCGAGACATTTCAATAATTTCATAGGCAATAATTACTCTAATTACACTCATAAATGCAGTTTTTCATGAGCTTTAATTTGGTATGAAATAATTTGTAATATCATTTGTACTTTAAGTTGTAGAGGGGGGCGTAATAGTTCTGTAACATCCTACAGAGCTGTATGAATGAAAAAATTCTCTCCGATGTCGACTTAACACGGACTTTATATTATTAAATATAGAACAATAGCTTAAGTAAAAGAAACATTATCATTTAATTATGAATATATTTAAGATCAAAATTATAGTTGTCAGTCACAATTATTCGATTAATACCATGATACTAAATGAAGATATTCATTCTTTTGATGATGCTCAAGCTACAAAAGCTTACCTATAATTTGTATTAGCATGTTGTCCCTTTGTAGTTAAAGTAATTTTTTTAGAACGTCCTGAACATGTTTTTACTGAGATAGAATTATTTTTTGTCTGTCAAATATATTTTTAACAAGCAAAGGCATTCCAATTTATTGAGAAATAAGCATGGAAATGTTTTACAACAAATATGTATAACTGTTGTAAATAGAAAAAATGTTTTTTGAGCACCATAGAAAAAAGCCAATTGAGCACCAAATGAAAGAATATTATAAAAGTTATTAATCTATTGTTGAAATTGAACAAGTCAACGTGAAGATGTAATTTGAGAATAACTATATCAGAATTTATAGACTTTTTTCTTGTTTATCGTTTCTTTTTTTAGTACCGAGTAGAGTAAAAGCGAATAATACAAATAGTAATACAATTTTATTTATTATAATTTTTATGTTTTGTTTTTTCAGGATACGCGATAATAAGAGAAAAAGAACGAAGATTGAAAACAATGAGAAAAAAAGATAAATACAAATATAAGTGTTAGTGACGCGAGGTCTTTCGAATTCTACCTTTATCAAGTGACTAACTATGATAAACAATAAATAAAAATAAAGTTGTATCGCTATTTATATTATCTACTTTTACGTTGTTTCTTATTGAAAACAGAAAAAAATCTATAAATTCTGACATAGCTATTTGTCAAATTAGACCTGTATGTTGACTTGTTCGTTTAAAGAATAAACGTTTTAATTAACTAATAAAACGTGTTCGGAACCTGTAGGTAAACGATGAGAAAAATGTAGATCGAAAAACGTTCGATCTGCTTTATTATTATGAATTATTTGCTTTTCATCATATTCATATTTATTTATTTGTTTGATCTTGTATTTATTATCTATCTGCTGTTGCTGCTTTTTTGTAAAGCTACCACTATGTTCTGACTTCACTTAAAAGTAACTTTGGTCCTCATTCGTCTTATTTTTTTATGCTCTTTTCACATATAACTAATGAGGTGCTCAAGACACGCCTTGTCCTTTGAAATTGCTTATATTATCTACTGTATCCAGTGGATACATCAAAAGACAAACATTATTTCCGTTCGAGTGCAACAAAAAACTGCCTGGAATTCAAAAGAATTTGATTTTCTAACGAGCTTGTTCATCAACGATATTGCTGGTATTAGTCATTTTATTTCTGCACTTTTCCACAACTTTAACCTCATAAACTGAATAAGCCACATATATAGACCTACGATAAAAATTTGGAAAATCTCGGCTTCGGTCAACTCGAATGGACAAAGTTTTTTAGTAAATAGTAAAGGTGTATTCATATAGATAATTTTCAGTTGTCATCAAAGAGAATAATTAGACGAAATGAACACGAATTTCATGAGTAAAATGCACAATTGCAGCGTATAGACCACGAAAATATTAGCTTGTTTGAAAAAAAACAGTGTTTTATTTTTGAAAATTCAAAATCTTATTATCGTTGATTTTGAACTAAATAGCTCTGAAAATGTCATTTAAGTTCATCAATACATAGTATCATTCATACACTTTCTTTTGATTCTTTATTATTATTCTTTTATAAAATGCCACACATGCATTTTTCTTACTTGGTAGTAGGTTGTAAACTTCTATCCAAAAAACTAAGCTAATTCGATGAAACCGACACCAAGCTATTTCATCGTTTGCAGCGTAATTCTATTTATAATCCATGTTAAATGATAATTTTTAACACTCATCTGGGGAGCCATACTTTTTAATCTTCATAATATGTTACAATTGACAACATTAAAACATCTTTGTACACTTCGCTCTGTAATAAACATTTCAAATTTGTTATTATCCGAAATTTTATCAATTTCTAACAGAAAGTCAGTTGAGAATGATTAAAAACAAGACTTCTTTATGATGTGTGTTTACTAATGTAACTTTTCCTGATCTTCATCGTGTGTTCGACTTTTCCAAAGCTCATATTTCTTACACTATATATATATATATATCTTGTTATCTTTCGCCAATAAGAAATTCTTATTATTGAAGAAAAAAAAAGGAAGAAAGACATTATTCATTACTAGTAAAAAGAAAGCCGACACTGAATATATCATGTCATCATTATCAACAGCACAATTAATTCTTAATGCTTCTCAACAATATACACTCTATGTTAGTTTTATTATTTTATTTTCTGGTGTTTTTGGACA